AAAATTACGATTCCGGTGAACGCAGCCACTTCTTCTAAATAATTCTTTTGTTTCAATTATCTGGCTCACCATGGATGCCTCCGGCCTGTGTGTGTGACTTCACCTCTAAGTTGTGCGAGAAGGCAGCCGAAGCCATCCGAGACGTATTTGACGTAAGAAATCATTTGCCAAAAGGAGGGGCCGGTACGATGTGTCATTCGTTTCGTTTCTGCATGCACCGGCTGACAAAGTTGCACGTGTAAACTATTTTTCTCACCATCCTTCAATGAATTCGCGGTGAATTTCAAAACGTCAGGCGAATAACCCTCTTGTCTCAAGGATCACAACTACGTCTACACAAAGCCGTGTGCCAAACCACACAGCCGATTTGCACTACGCGTCAGCAAACATAACATGTAATACAATTTGGCACAAGCACATCTCTACTGCGTGCTGTGGTCCACGTTATATGTCTGCGTGGGTAATCAGTTGCGTCTTACAGGGCGCGGTAAGTCAGTAGTCACAATTTAAGTCCTGTTGCGCAATAGCGTGTCTGTCATCCGTATCAGTACAAAACCGTGTGCCGAACGCTATATTCGGAGGGTTTTTGCAACTTGAGCCGCCATTTGTTAACCCCTCCATTCACATGTACATTTTATTATATATACGTCGGTTGGCCTACTTCGAGTATTTTAAACCGATTCTTATCTCTCTTTCTTTATTTGAACAACAGTGAAGTCATGAGTGTATGAGGTCACGACGCTAGCGCTGTTTCGGAAGCAGTCCAGTTCGGCCTACATTTGACGACTTTTCCAGGGACATTTATCCACGATGTCGAAAATGACATTCATTGGCGACTATGGATTACTTTGCTTTCCCGGTGTTGTGAGTTTTTACGGTTAATCTGATTCGTTTTGAATGGAGGACCTTCTCGCTGAAAAGTTTTGCATGATCAATTTAAATTAAAGCGCATATCTCCCTCTCTTCCTTGTCAACCAGACATGTTGAGGTTAGATAATTTGCCCCTCCCTCTTACCGAAACAACACCGGGCCAAGATCTAGACATACCGGGCATTATTCGGGTTGCATTCCCATAAAATATCGCGTCTGTTGGCACGTGTAGGTGCAGGCTCACGCCGCGCCAGCCGCCTGCACCCGTTCATGCCTCGCATGTTTGTCTTGACTTTAAGCACAAGTGGTGAGGGCAGATAGAGTGCGATAAATGTAACGCAAGTCTGCTAGCACTTAAAACGAATCCACACACAAGACACCTTGCGTGCATGAACCTACTATGGAACACATGGTGGACCCCATCGAAATCGACGGCCTAATTATCGTATGTATGCGTGTGTGTGTGATTGGAGGGTTGCCAACAGGCGGGATACCTTGAAAATTGCCGTCAGCCCAGTGTGTCTCTCTTTGAGTGAAGTGGCTTACAGCGGGCTGAGAGTCAGGCTCAATGACTCCTTCCTTAATGTGGCCTTTATGCCGCTCCCATGCTGGAGCCTACCCAGCAAGGTGGTGTTGTTGTGGTGCCTGTCGGCGAGTGTTTCGCGTACTCCACCTGCGCCCTCTCCTCACTTCCGGTCTTCTCGAAGTTTGTATTGACATCGGGTAGAGACGTGGGAGAGGTGAGAGAGTGGGGTAGATTCTCCGCAAGTCAAGTTTAAAAATAATCCTTTGGGAGTCCCCGCGCTGCATCAGCTTGCTGAGGCGAGTCTACTTTCATTATAATCCATCTATTGTCAAAACGTCTGCCTTCAGCTTGCTGAAGCTCATGGTGGACATCGTCGAGAGCGACGGCCGAACTGTTGTGTGTATATATTCGGTGTAGATGTTAGTTAGGGGAACACAGCGCTGGTCGCTTAGTTCGCTTAACTTGCGTTGAGCAAGTCGTTAATGCATTTGTGTGAGCCATTAACTGGCACCCAGGTCTCACGTGTGACTCCTCGAAGGTAGGCTGGGTAAAGTATGGTCTGCACAAACATTAGTAACCCCAAGATCGTGTTAAACGAAAATGTTGGTCATTGGGGTTTTTTTAAGGGTGGAACCTCACCAAGGACATAGGATAAAATGTGGAAGATATTCCATCTTACCAGAGGCAGTAACACACGACCAGCTCCGTTTTCTTCATAAATGCCTCGAAAAATAACTGACGCCACAATACCTCAGAGATACTGCCTTCTTTAACACAGCTGTGGGCGGAGACGATCGACAAAAACCATGGAAATCTATAAAAATACAGGGCTAGGACCAAGGAGGATAGTAAAACGGGTTTCCAGATTTTATGATATTCGATCACCGAAAAGTATGGGGGACAATCTCCACTTTGGCATAAAATCGGCGTGTTTTCGACCGGAAACTGAATAATTCACAACCAGCAGATAGTAGAAGCCCAGAGGTGGTCCACAATCTTCCGTCTAAACGGCTGACATAGCAGCAACCATAAGGAATACGACACAAAGCTGGTTTAAACACCGCAGATGCTGACCCAGTCCATCTAACCAATGCAACTCTGGAAAGCATGCTTTTGAGAATCGTAACAGCTGCCAAAAAACACTCGGTCTGACAATATACTACCTCCCTGATGATGACACAGGAGAGATATCAGGTTGCTGCTTACAAGAAGGAGACGGGCTCTGTGGTTAACTTCGCATCTATCAAGCTAATCGTCCACATCTGTATAAAGACAGCTAAGATTAAATAAAGCCTGATTAATGGATGGGAACTCAGCTAATCGACGTATTGATTGGGCTTCGGCGTACAGAGCTCTACGCAGTCAGCTCTGGGCTTGCATCACTAATAATTAATAGGTTTGCACCCCCTTTGACTTTTGCTTTTTTGCTGCTCCCATCTCCGACGTCATACCACTGCACATGTTCAGACTATGCGCTTGCTCAAGGATCTAAAAAGCACGACCTCCGTCCCCACACTAAGGGAGCGAACTTTTGCTGTACAAGAAGCGTGCCCACACTCGCTTGCCAAAACTGTTCTCTTTAGTAGTTCTTGTACAGACAAAAATGTCCCCCACGACGAACATCCAACTGCTCTTCCTATTCGGTACTACCACTGCAGGTCATACAGAGTAGAAATGATACTACAAACCGCAAAAGACTGACGCCACCAAGGCAAAAGTAGCTTACGTAGGCCCACTCATATACCCTAGACCCAGCATTTTATCCTGCAAAAATGGTGGTCATAGAGTTTTGGGGGGGGTGGGGAAATAGGATAGGCAGAGAAGTAAATTTTTTGAAGTAAGTGTAAAGGGAAAAAAAAGTTGTCGAAGTTGCTTCCCACGGCCGCTGGGATTAAGTTGTTCCGCATGTAAACTGAAGGTGTGCGCGGCGCTTTGCGGCGCGGATTATATAAATCCAACTCCAGAACGGCAAGCTGGACCTCAGGTAAGTTGAAGTAGACGACCTACTAACCACCATTTACATTTTTCAGGAAATTCAAAAAATCTGCAATTTATAATCGTTTTTTTCCACAATAAGTTAAACGATAATACAGATTATGAAAATCTACGTATACAAATCAACAGCACTTCTGAACACATTAAAATAAAGATGCATTTAGCATTAATTAAGCCATATTCCACTGCTTCTCCCAATTCACCACCCATAACACCTTATAACCACTGTTTTCGTAGGAAACCATGCAGGGAGTAGTGATTAATGAGTGGGCCTACATAAGCTACTGCTTTTCCTTTCAAAATTAAGCACATTCCTCTCTCTCTTTTTGCAACATTTACATACAAGCAATTATAGTTGAATCAGAGGAACATTCACAAAAGACTTCGTCAATCTCAGGCCGAAGAAAACTTCATATAAAGCTTGCGCAGTCCTCTAACTCACGCGTCTTTTTCGTTGCGGATGCAGCGTTGCCAACTTGTGGTAGCTCCTGAGTGGAAACTGACGAGATTAAGCCAAATAGCCACCAAAGCATCTCAACACGGTATCTTGAAAGTCCTGTTCATTTTATTTGTTCTGTCGGTAGCATAAAGAAAACTATAGAGGTACTGGTATCAGGTGCTCATGCTCAGAGCACATTTGGGTAGCTGATCAGATAGCAGTCTATT